GTTTGCTCAGAGTCCTCAAGCTGTGGAATCGCCCTGTTAAAACACCATGCCTTTCTGCCCTGTGTTAAGACATTTCTAAAGACCTTCTACTTCGCGTCAGCAATGCTAATATGTCCTTGTATGGCTCAGTGTCAAAGTTTGTTTCATACCACTCCTGTGAAGCGCTGTGGAGCATTTTACAAATTTAGAATTGTTATCGGACTGCAAGTTGTTGTTCACTTGAGTTCTGTCAGTTTTGTTGAGCAACACTGGGGCCCCACAGCTACTCCATAACTTGTGGCAAAGTGTAGCCTCTCGGAACTCTTGCAACAACTTGCAGTACAAGTTTAGATGTTGCAGAACTATTGAATCATATCCAATAACTATGGTCCACGATTGATGCGGTGTCACAGCCTGGTAACTCTTGAAGGTGAGAACCACACAATAAGCAATGCTTAAACAACGTGAAAAGTGAGCTATCATTTGACAGATGTGGACTCTAAATACTGGATTTCACTTGTGCACAGTCTGAAGGAATCACCAGGACAGCCTTTTGAGGAGGCAGGTTAATGGACCAAATCCATTTATGGCTTTTGTCATCTGAAGGATAGCTGTTAGCATTGTGTACACATGAGAAAACTACAGATCACCTCAGACATGCATGTTGCTATCAGACGGTCACTTTTGTGCCTGTTTCAGAGTTGGCCATAGTTCAGAGAGCCTGACCATCAGTCATTGATTTTATTAGTGTGGATTTTATTAGTGCACAGCAGTTTGATCACCAGAGAGCTGCAAGAGGAGCTTGCTCTTACAGGATGCAATCAGTGAAAAAAGATCACTGGATGTGTCAGTGACCCATATCTTTTTTTTTATAAGTGTACTGTCGTGCTTCCCTTGACCAGCATCACCAGGACATTTGACCTGTTCATTTACCTCAGTGTGATGATAAAAGAGAAAAAGAGCTTTGCATGATTTGATGGGGAAATTTCTTCAACATCTTTTACAAGACTCAAGTCTCCCACCTATGCTCATGGTGACAGTCACACTCAGCCAAGAATGACATTTCTCTTAGAATGCTCGTAGAGAGTCTGTATTCATAGAAACTATAGGTAGTTCTCCTATAACGTTATAGTTGCATTCTTGTGTGACTTCATGCTGAAGAAAATCGGGCTACAGAAAATCACCATAGAAAATCGAGTTATAAGGAAATCGCTATACATGTACAGTAGAAAGTTCGTGTTATCCAAACAGCGCCCACCATTCATCAGTTGCATTACAGCCAATGTGCATTAATGAAGCACGTGTTACAGTGGAACTACCTGTAGGAGCAAGAGTAAACCACTTCGCTCTTTAATCTTGCTTCGCCACTCAATATGATCATGGCTGATCTTCTGTCTCAATGCCGTATTTCTGCTTTCACTTCAAACCTTTCAATGCCTTTAACATCGAAAGAAAAGTCTGTATTTTTGAATATAGTCAGTGACTTGGCCTCCACTGCCTTCTGTGGTAGGGAATTCCACAGGTTCATTCACCTTTGGGAAAAGAAATGTTTCCCCATCTTTGTCCTAAATGGTCTACACTGCAACCTGAGACAGTGACACCTAATTCTGGACTCCCCAACCAGGAGAAACATTCTCCTGCATCTAGTCTGTCCAGCCTGTTAGAATTTTATATGTTTCAGTCAGATCCCCTCTCCTCTTCTAAACTTGAGTGAATACAGCCATAGCAATGAACCTCCGTTGCTGTACCTCCCTGTCCTTTCTTCCGTCAGGAGACCAACTTAACACAGTACTCCCAAGTGTGGTCTCCCCGAGACCCCGTATAACTGCAGGAAGACATTGCTACTACTGAAGTGGAATCCTCTTGCAGGCCAGTGTACTAATTGCTGTCATGGGCTGTTATTAATGCAATGGTAGTGCCCTTTACCTCTGATTCAGAAGGCCCGGTTCAAGACCCACCTGCACCAGAGGTGCGTAATAACGTTTCTTTAGCAGGCCGATTTGAAAAGATTTTTTATTTGCCTTGCTAATTCCTTGCTGCACCTGCTTATCTACTGACTTGGGTGTACATGCACACCTTTGTACATCCTTATATCCCACTACACCACTATTTAAGTCATACTCTGCTTTTCTGTTTTTGACATCGTAGTGTAGAACATAAGTTTAACATTTCGCCAGGTTCTATTGCATCTGGCATATGTTTGTCCCCCTCACCCAGCTTGTCCAAATCAAGGTGACCTCACCACACATTGGCAAAGAACTGGAGATCATTGACATTCTGCAGAAAGAAGCACCTCATTGTATCTAACCTAGTTCTAAGTTTACATTACTTGAAGTCATGTTCCCTGTTCCACCAAAAATTATCTGGAATCCACCAGGACCAAATGTCATACTTCTGACTGTTTTATTTAGATCTTTAAAATAAGTCTGTGTTTTGGGCTTTCCAAAGTTTAAAAAAAACCTTTTGACTGGTGACCTTGAAACTAAGGATCCTCATAGAAGCCTTTTTGTAGATTTAGTCAAGGGTCTGCGTTTACTATGTCATAAAAGGATTCAAATTTGATGTGATAATCTCGCAGTCTCTGACTTCGACTTTTGAAAGGACATTTTTAGCTTCCTGTTTAATTGCTTTTGCGAGACATGAAAATGTTTGTAGCTTTAAAGTTACTGTGTCACATTGGTCTGAGGCCATCACTGACTTGTGTGTGATCGCCTCTGGTCAGTCTCCCACTTTGAAATCTTGAAGACACAATCTGTTTGGAATTACCCAACCGAAGTGTATGTTATGACAGTGATCTACATTAAGAAGCATTTGTTAACTCTGGTGCACACACCTGCATGAATTCTGTTCTCCATTTAAAGGAGATAAAACCATGAGAAACAGGAACAGAAGTAGGCCATTCAACACTTGGAACCTGCTCTGTCATTCAATAGGATGATGGCTTACCCAGCATTCCTCACATCCACCTTCATGTCGTGCACAAGCTTGCAAACAGTTTCATTACTGTCTTGATCCAGATGGTAGACCAAGATGTGGGTTTCCCATTCTGAATAGGCTCCCTGCATAGCAACTGTTAACAACCGATTACTGTCTCCAGGAAGCAAGTAAGATTCACAGCCACTTCAGGACCTGGGTAATCAAGTGTTATGCATGTCCTTTGGAGGTCTTAACAGTCAATGTTGACATGGCTTCCAACATGTGTTAACTTGGGAAGGTTTTCAAACATTTCAATAAGGTTGGTGCAAGAGGATGTTTCTCCCTTGACACTATGCATGTATATAGTGCGACATTTCTTTCTTGGTCAAGTTGAATGTGTTATTTGCCACTGATAATCCTTCCTTGTGCACCAAGCTTAACATGTGAGCCTGTAACTTCCAGGGTTTGGAAAAGGATGGGTTACACATGGGCTTCTTTCCAGTCAGTGACACTGATGCCAGACAGCAGCCTCCAGTTTAATGCATCAAAGTGGCTCCCACAGTACTTGTGGATTAATGCCAGCAACCACGATTTAGAAATCTTAATTCTTATTAAAAATTCATCTGCGTTTACTTTGACACATTTGATTTGAATATCAGCTTGTCGGTGTGGTATTGATTACCCAGCAGCAGCATCAGGACTGGATGCTGATGCAAAGGAACTATTTAAAATGTCTGCCCTATCCAGGGAAGCTTAACCTTCACTCTGATGTTCTTCATGGTTCTTTAGCATTCTGTGTCCTATGTTCATGCAGAGAGAATGATCACCAGAAGAAGGGTTTGGAGTGAACTGCGTCCTAGACACAGCAATGTAATAACCTCCCAGCTGTTAAAACACAGGTTGCTAACTTGGCCCAGCAGCTAGGGATGCTGGGTATATTGGTCAAGTAAAACTCTTAAATCACAAAACCCACACATCAGAGTGCAAACACAGTAGCCAGATGCTAATGACCTTATCATGATGTAAAAGGTAACAGTTGGCTTAACAACTTACCTACAAAACAAAGGAGGGCCCAGGCAGAAAGGCGCCAGGTCCTGCTTACACAAAGAAACAAGCAGTAGCAAGCCATCCAAATGATGAACAATGTTTCAAACTATTAAGTCTGTCTCCCTGATGGGCTACAACTCTAGAAAGTTAGAGAAAACCATCCAAAAGGGTATAAAAACAGGGTACCTGCAGTCCAAGCTCTCTCGACCACTTTGTTGAATCTTCTGGAGGCCTTCCGAGGAGACAAGCATGCCAAGAGGCAGAGACCAGCTGACCATCCACAGAGGGGAAGGGAGAAAGCAGCTTCACCTCAGAGACTGACCCAGAGAGAGAGCGACTGCATCAGTCGACAAGAGACTTGGGAAGTGTTGTAACCTGAAGGGGCCAAATAGGATTAGAGATAGTATGTTTAGTATTAAGAGTTATTGTAACTTCTTTCTTGATAAAGTTGGGACTGTTTTGCGTTGTTACCGGCTTGTGTTCGTAGTGATCTGACTGCTTTGGTATTGTGGGACACTCGGGCAAATCCTTTGCTAAAGTTCTGTTTGCAGTTGTCTAACTTGTTTTAAGGAGGAACCCGACGACAGCCATCATTCAAAATTTGAAAAACAAGAACAAACTATTGCATTGTTCACCCTAAAGTTACCGTATAATCAGTTTATATGTCTCTTAAAATTATTTTTGTCGAAACAGGATATAACATACTATTCCTATAATAACATACTTGGAGCACTTTTGTGTTCTTGATGTCTGCTTTTATTTTAGTTTACTTGCTTCTTATTCCGATTGCCCATATTATTTTAGCATCTTAAAAATTTTGATTCTCGCACCACAGAGGGAGTCCATTCGGTTCATTGTGCTTCTGCCAGTTCATGTTTTGTGTTCACGACCTTGCTGTCTTCATTTCAAATTTTCAGCATCTGCAGTATTTTGCTTTTTATCAGATTGACCAATCTTCTGAGCAGCCTGAATGGAAAATGAGGCCAACCGATAGGAAATCATGAATCCTTCAATGCTCATCTACGTTCAGAGTTCACCATTGTTTCTTTTTTCTGCAGGGTTACTGGAGGAGAGCTATTTGAAGATATTGTAGCCAGAGAATATTACAGTGAAGCAGATGCAAGGTAAGTTGTTAAATCAGTCATTTTTAGCTTCAATGTAAAATTTTGGGTTCTACCAGATTGTACATCAGACATCATGGTCACTTCATTCTGCCTGTTCCAGAAAAGATCACTTTGTGACTGGCTTAACACAAATTCAGTTCTGCTCTCGTGTGAATCCTGGTTGGATGGAGTGGATGTTTCGTGTAAACCATTTGGACCCTGTCAGTTATACACAGTTCATGGAGAATGCTCATTCTTACCATTGGGCCCAAACTGATTGGACACTTTTCTGAGACTGACAGACGGAAATCAGGCTGACTGTCAAATGGGTAGTTATTCCTGTCACAGTGGATAACTTCTTCACAACATTGTGTATATGCCAGAGAAACTTTCGTCTGGCTCTGCTATGTTTGCTTTGTTTGCTTTCCTGGATCGAATCTCAGTCAGTTGAAAGATTCAACCAGCTACATCTTTGCGTCTCTTGAAATAACTTAAACTTGTCAGTGCTTAATGATCTTCCTGGAGAAATCACAAGTCACTGTGTGACTGAGTTGTAAGCTAGTTAATGCAAAGAGCAGTCCTAACAATACAAAGGGAAAGAAGTTGTGGATTTGAGCAAAAAAGTGTCCCATCCAGCCCATTGGACTTAACAAAGATCTGTATAACCCAACTCCTTAAACTTTATAAATTAGTTCATGGCATCAGCTGTTTTTAAGAATGCATTCCTTATTCTGTGAAGACTTTGAAAGAAATTGCTAATTAATCCTAAATTTATGAACAGTCCCATCCCCACTCACTCTTTACGATGTGAACTGCTGGAGGCTGTGTGCTCTCTGTACTGGCCAAACTGAGGCACTTAGTGAAATGTAGCATTCAAATTGAAAGCTATGAATACTGCTTAAGTCATAACTTACAAGATGTGACTCCCTCTATGTGCTAAATCCAATGCCTTGATGAGATATTGTACGTCATTATAAGATGTTGAAAGGGTGATCATTTTCTCCAATTCCCCCAAAAGACAGGCATATATCCTTCATTCCAACCGAGTCCAAGATGAGAATTGTAAAGAGGGAAAGACCATGATGTCTGTGGAAAGTGCTTTCTTTTGTAATCTTTATCTCACAGCAGTGATCCTGTTAAAGCACAGGATTTGGACAGTAGCACAACAGACCTTTGGGGTTTATGGGAGTTGATAGATGAATATTTGAAGAACAACCAACTGCAGGCCTCAAACAGGATTCCATCAATTAAAATGAAAGTTTATGCCTTCCACAAAAAAAACCCTCGAGTGATCATAGAAGGGAAAGAAATCTGTTGGCTGAAAAGGTGCTGTTAAGATGCTGGGTTGAGGCTGAGAGGAGGGGTTTTCTGGTATGGTAATATCTTGGCCACTTACTGATGTGACATGTGTTAAATTGGTACTTGCTTGTGGCACAAGCTTGAGTGGAAACTGCCTGAGCTGTTAGCCAGCAATGAAAAAAAGGGCTGCCTAACTCTCCCTCAATGGTGGATCCCTCCTGGAATCTAGTGAGTCTGCATAAAATGAGAAACCAAGGTTATGCACCATGCTGACCCAGCACAACCACTGCAAGCCAGGGCAGAGTATTTGAAGTGGTAGTTCGCTGTCAGTCTGCTTGAAATCTGAAAGCTTGTGTGTAGTAGAGAAAAGGACTGCGAGTGGACTTGGGAACTTAGGAAATTGGAGCAGGATTAGGCTGACTAGACCCCAGAGCTTTAGCTGTAATCCAGCAAGATCCAGCCTCATCTTGTGCATGAAGTCCAATTTGTAGTGCAATCCTCACGTTCCTGGATCCCTTTTCTGCCCAAAAAAATCTGTTGATCTGAGTCTTGAATGTACTCAAGGACTGGCTGGGCTGGGAGGTGGCTTCTAAAACCTGGAGCACAGTCTCAGAGGAAGGACAGTTCTTTAGGACTGACAAGAGAATGAATATTCTCAGCCAGAGTGTCATAAATAGGTGGACTTCTCCACCACAGGGGCATACACACATGCAACCATGCACATGGGAAGCAGGATTCGGTCATTTGACATTTCCTCATTTTAAGATCTTCTGGAAAAGTCTGTAAAACTATACTGTGCCGATGAGTCTTGATTTGGATATCAGGAAGGGTGCATCAGGATGATAGGTGTTCAACGTGCAAGTTTCTGCTTAGAAATGAGAGAGTTCAGAAATGTGCCCAATTCAGACACGTCAAGTAGCATGATAATGTCGAGATAGGGAAGGCATTACTTAGAAAGAAAGGTGCTTTCCCCTACCACTCTTCAAGCTTCAGGGACATTGTGATTATCATCCATCTTTTAAAGGCATTACGATTTGCAAGATTGAAAATGAGTTCACACTGGTATTGTAATGTTCCCTTTGGGAGTTGTAGGCAGTGTAAATTTCATTTGAGAGTATGTGGCTGTCAGATTGTATTGGATGCTTTTTCAGTTGTTCGGGGACCCCACACAGACAGTGATTTAGCCTTGAATCTATGCCTTAATGACCTTGCACTGATGCCACTCATTAACTGTGTGTCCTGTTTAAGCGCGCATTCTGTTGTTTAAGATGGAATATGGCAAATCTGCCAGTGATGATCTGACCTTGCCTGCTTAGATTGAACGAGGCAAATAAAATTAAGGGCAATGTAAATGCTGTTAACAGGATCACTGCTTCAAGGGACTGTCCACGGTGGTGACTATTTTCGTTAGGTTTAACAACTGAGTTTGTGAGAAATGTTAATTATTTTCTGTTTGGTCATCAACTTTCGGGGAAGGGGAGGGTCAAGAAGTGTCACATGAGGGCACCTGACAATGTGGATGGTCCCTTAAATCTCAGTGAATGTTTGGTGAGATCAGGGGACTGGGCTGTCTCTCCTGTTCTTGGTCTGTTGGTCAAGGTTTTGAAAGATCCTGTAATACGACACATTAGCCTCTGCTTTTATAATTTTAATCTCATTCTTTCTGCACCTCAAGCTCTTCCTGTGTGTTTTTATTGTGCTTGCACATGTTTACATCTGTGATGACCTCAATTCTGAATGTTTTCTGTGCCAGTTTTCCCTTTTGTCTCTATTGTTATGAAAAAGAATATTTTTATTTTAATTGTGAGTGAACTTGGGAGGAAGAGTAAGGTAATTTCTGATGTTTGGACTCTCCTAAATTTGAGTTTAACTCAGTTTAACTCAGGGTTTGGGGATGTATCACTCAGGTTGAAGAGGAAGGAAATAGGCTGTTGTATTTCGTCAAACTAATTCACAAAATGGTTCAAGTTAGCTATGAGGAAGTAAAAGCTGAAAGTCATTGAGAAAAATGAAACCTTTCACAGAACCATTGCCAGGGGATGATTCACAATTTGTGGAGTTAGCAGAATAAACCTTGATGGCTGGGTTTATAACTGTTCAGATTTGGTAATTGTATCTGTCCATCTTGGACATCCTTCCTCATCCTGTTGAAATAAACTTTGCTCCGCAAGTGGTTGAAGTTTCTGGTCTGGAAACACAGTCTGTCACATTGATCTGTGACCAGATGTCCATAACACGTGCACATTCTTAAAGCTGTTCACAGGCATTCAGAACAACGTGCACGTTGGGCTGACTTGGCCCTGGAGTTCCTCAAGTGATCTCAGTGCAATTACACCACTCACCAAGATGATGTGACAAATCAGCTCACTTCTATTATCTAAGCCATCACGAACATTTGCAGCTGGCCACGAGTAATGGAAGCAAGTCCAGCAATGGTTCAGCCCTCATGGGAGCCAGCCTCGAAAGAGGAGTTTACTGAGGGGCTCTGTCCCCCTGTTAACATGAACCTGCACCATGTTCTTCGTTTTCAACCTACTTCATGAGCTGACTTTCCAACCCTTCATACTTATTTTACTGAGTTTGCTGACATTTGTGTGGTCCAAGTTCTCTCAGCACCCTTTGCTGCTTTCCTAAATCAGTGGATTTTTATTCCTTTTCAAGTTGGAGTTGAGATGTAATCTAGAGACAGTGACGTACTTTATTCATGGATTAATCCTGTTGAAAAAAATCAGTGGGAGGGGTTACACTGTGCCTGTGCATTGCCGTGTTCAGTTGTCATGAGTGATGAGAAGATTTATCGGAACAAACCCTGTCCGAGACTGTTTCCCATTCGTTATGCTGGTCTGACATTCCCTGGGCTCCAAGGACCAGAATGAATAGATGGGTTACAGACTGTGACTGCACTATTTGATATTTTTGGTCCATGGAAAGACCAAACTTCAGATCGATTGGTTCATCAGCCAGTTGATGAGTAAGTGGTTAATGAAATGGGCTCCTGCTTTCTGATGATAATTGACTTATACTTAATGTATACAAGGACTGCAGCACTGTGTTGTGTATTACTTGGCAGATCTTTGTTACACAGCCTTGTTTAAAAATAAGTGGGTCGTTAGCCTCATTGGTCCAATACAAGAATGTATAATTTTGTCTTTTCAAAATTGCCTCTCTCAAATGACAGTCAGCAGTTACACATTTATTACATTTAACTATAATTATTAGACAAGAACAAGATAGCCTTGTGTTTTAGATTGGAAGTGATAGAAAGGCTAAAGGGATAAATTGTCCCCCTGTCACCATTGTTCTAAATCACAATTTTTACAACCCATTGACAAATGCTGCTGTACAACGTTTCAGGTCCAACCATGATTTCCAGTGTCTTTCCTCACTGCGTGAGGAGGTCCCGTGTCATTCAGGATCTTAGCTTAACCTCCTCAACAAATCTTCAACACCATTTTGTTGATCAAGGGAAATTGTGGCTTGTTGGCAATATTGCTAGACTAGTAAGGCAGAGGCACACACTGATGCTTCAAGAACACAGGTTCAAATCCACAGCAATCGGTGGAATTAAAGTTCAGCAACTGAGTTGGAAAAACGTATCTGATCGACACAAATTCTTTGGGGAAGGAGGTATGCCATCCTTCGCCGGTCTGGGCTTACATATAATTCCAGCCCCACGGCAATATGATTGACTGTTCACTGCTCTCTGAAATGGCCCAGTAAGC